ATAGCACTATTCCTGATCAAAAATTGAGTCGAAAACTTGATCCTGAACCATTTTTTTCTACAATGTTCAAGGAAGCAGTTATCATCGAGTAATCAAATCGATGTCGTCCTTTAGGCATATCTGTGAGCCGTGCTCACTACCAGATATGTGATTCACTGAGCATCCGTTTAAAGAACGGTTAATTGAATCAGCTTTACTTAGCAATTACTTGTTTCATTGAGTATTGTAGAAAAAATGGCTCAGGAATAGAGCTGAATTAATTAATGAACGCTATTTACGATACACCTCGTATTTGCGTGTATGCGTGCATATAGATATAATATAATATTAATATTAATTTAATGCTTTTTCAATTTACCTTCTTTTTTGTAACTGAAAATGTGGTATGGCAACTAGGACACTCTTCAACATCCTCTTCATGTTGCCATCTTACTTCACTACCTGCTTGTCTAATCCTTTCCAGTTGGACCTATATGTGATCATTAAAATAATTATTACTTTGTATATTACAGTTCTATTTAGAATTTATAATATTTATAATGTATATAATGAGCTCTTATTTATATATACAAACTTTTTCGATAATTTTGAATCAACTTTATATGTCGATAAAATACACACAACTTTAAATTCACTGTTTATATTATTTCTATTACCTGTAATGATTGTGATAATCTAACAAAGTCTTTCTGTACTGCCTCACTAGTATCTAATTCTTGCTGTAAACTCATAACTCTTTGTCGTAGTTCACTTATAACTGAATCTGCATCTTTCTTCTCTTTTTGGATTTCCTGCAGCTGTTTTTCCAATCGATCAAGTTTCTCTTCTCTATCAGCGAGTGTACGATGATCTCTTATGTATTTATCTAATTGTGCTCTATAAATGATTCAATAGAGTAAAATTATGTTAATGTTTATGGTATTAAACAATCATAGTTGATTTTGTCGCACATATAAAATCAGTATATACAACCGCTCACCTCAATCCGCTTATTTCATTCTTTAAAACAGCAATATCCTGTTCTTTAACTCTATTCTCTTGCTCCATTTGTTCTCTCAATAAAGTAACTTCATATCGCAATGTCTCTTCCTTCTCTTGTGCAACTTCTTGAGCCACTTTGGCTGTAATCAAATCCTCACGCATCTTTAAAAGACTCATATGCAATTCCTCAACAGTGTTTGGCATGTTGATGCTTTCACTTTGAAGTTGTTGCGAATGTTTGCTATGTTTACCCACAAGATTTTCGTTCTCCATCTGAAGTCTGCAAGCACATATTTGGAATAAAAAACTTTATCAATAATATATTATTATAATATTATCTATATTTCTTATTTTTATATATAATTTAACTTTATATATATGTAGTGCTATTAAAAATTTGTCAAAAAAGGATCATCTTACGCAGTGAGATGTCTCTGTACTTCTTCTCTGCCTCGTGTCAATTTAATAAGTTCCTCCGATACGTTCCTTTGAATTTGTTCAAAAGTTTTCTTCAGTTCTAATAAATTTTGTTGCGCTGTCTGCGAGGTAACAGTGAGTTCCGCAACTTTGATTTTATGCTCTTCCTTCTTCTCATTCCATTTTTCCTCCATCTCTTTTCGAAATTCAACTTCCTTAGCTAGATCTTCCTTTTGAGCTTGTAGCATACGTTGCGAGTCCAACAGCTGCTTCTCTAAATTCTTGGCAGTCGCTTCTACTTTAACTAATTGTGCTTCGTAGTTTGCACACATATCACACGACGGCTCAAAGGAACCAGGTTCCTGCTGCCGTTTCTTTAATAGAACTTCTTTACATTTTTGTAATTCGTCATCGGTTGACCTTAGTTTCTCTTTTAAAGCTTTTATTTCCTCCTCGAGTGGCACAACCAACGAACGTAAAACTTCCGCATCTTCTTGTGCCTATGAAATTACACAGTTTTTTATCTATCATTGCAATAAATATTATGAATTTACTGAGAGACAAGCAATTTAACGTATCCAGAGAAATGTTAGTGTCACTTAAATGTATCACAAATAGAATATAAATTTAACCCTCCATCAATCATATGGAATTTTATACCTTCCGTCAGCAAAGTGGGTATCTTCAGTGTAAATTTTTATGTTCTTAACTATATAAAAATCTGACAAAATTCTTGTATACTTGTAAAAACTTTAACAATGAAACTATTTTTACTAGAAATCAAATTGTATTTTACTTATTTATTGTAGATTTAAATTTACCTTTAGAATTCTCATAATCAAAATATCAACTATGTTTTCAAAATCCAACTTGATCACTTAACAGAAGGTTAATTGTGCAAGAGTTATAAATGTTTCATGCAATTTTAGATTTACGTACATATTTTTTTACCTTCCGCATGCTTTCTTCTAAATTGTCAGGACCTAAAGATAAAGAGTCCGCGCCTAATTGTGAAACCACTTTTCTAGCTAATGTTTTAGTTACTGTAGACAATGAAATTTGTGGTCCGTCCATTGGCGGATCGCGTGGCAATTGTGTTTTCAATAACGCATTCTCTTCTTGAAGCTTAGAAAGAGTCAATTGTAATTTGGACACTTCGCTAACAAGCTGTTTTCTCGAGCAAGAAGATTCCTCCACTGTTTCATGTATAACTTGCTGTAAAGACGCTATTTCTTCCTGAGCCTTCCTCTTCTCTATCAATATATGATTTTGTATTTTGAGATCTGCGACGACTAGTTGACTCTTAGCCTCATCCAGCTCATTCTTCAATCTCAGATTTTCCTTCTGCAGACCCATATTTTCCTCTAGTCTCCGCTTTAATTCCTCTATAAAATACATTAATTCTAGATTTGATAAAACTGCCAAAGAACTACTTACCCAAGGTTCGAGTTATATATCCTACATACCTTCTTTCTGAAGGAACAATTCTTTCATCTTAGCCCTTTGTACATTAAACTCTTCTCGCATCTTAACGTTCTCTGACTCCAATCGACTGATCTTCACCTGAGGATCCTCTGAATCGTAACAGACACTCTTAATGAAATTAAATCATACCATGTGAGAGGATTCTCTACATTAACAAACATATGATGTCGCAAAAGAAGCCCGACAAATGAATAAATAGTGCTTTCTTAAATATCTTGTTTTCGTATTTTTTTTTCCTTCCGAATGTAGTAATGACGATATCGACAAGGACCTAAATAAAGACTACTGTTCGATAACATACCGTTTCCGTTTGCTTTGACCGTCCGATCGTCCTGGTTCTCCATTGTATAATCACTTGGCGCGGACGAGAACGACAATTTTGCCGGAGTGGATCACTGCCATGGACAAGGATTCGGAGAGCATATCTCGGAGCTCAGCCGGGACTGGCCTCTCGACAACGATGACGTTAATGACGTCGATGACGGCGATGGCATGCCGCTGACCAATGTCAGTGACTCATAGTGACTTGAACGAAACTAGGTCCAAAACGCAAATAAAGACTCGAGAATGAAAATCACTGATAATCGGCTCACGGAAGCGAACTCAAGAACCGGAAGCGACCTCGCTTGTTCATCCAACGACTTCGCTGGACTCGCAAGCAATTCGTTAAATGATGTGTCTAACACTCATATATATTTGCCGATGTCCACTGCTCCTCCCTGCTGCACCTCCTAACACGGTTGATAGTGGCTGACACCTTCCGCTTTTGCTGTTTTCCGCCCTTTACTTCTACTGCTTTGCAACTCCAACTGACTCCAACCTCCAACTAGTACATGTAATGTGCATTTATATATTCATATATACTTAAAATTATATAGTCTTCTACAGATTATTTAATTTCAAGTACGTATGTATATACAAGTGTATATACATGAATAACAATAAAGTTTAATGAAAGAGATAGAAAATTTTAATGTGCAGTCCAGTGCAATAAAAAAAACCAAACCTCTCCTTTTTTCAGAAATTGCACCTTTTATTATACACCTTTCACTTTTCTCCCTTTCAGAGTGCAGAAACGTCGCAAGTGTTGTGGTCCAATCAGAGTCGAGCTAGCTTGACGTTTGCGATACTGCGATCAGTGTCGGGAACTCTAAATTCTGAAATTACGTTAGAAATTCTGAAATTACGCTTTACAAAAAATAAGCTAAAAAAATAAATCATTTATTATGAAATTCAAAAACTCTACAAGTAGGCTAAATTTTACAAAAAAAAGACTAAAAATATACTAAATTTTATCAAAAAAAAAAAATAATAAATCGTTATATGAAGTTAAATATACGTATCAAATTAGTTTTCTTTATTTGGAACATCTTCATTTGTAATGTTACAAATGTTTAAAAAAAATTACATATTAAAAATTTTATATTTCATATTATATATTATTTTTTATATTTTATTAAACAAATTAATTTTATATTTTATATTACATATTATTTTTGTATTTTATATTTTGTATTTTACATTTTAAAAAAATTCACAGGCGAAAAAATATATTCCTCTATGCGAATCGTGAACACCCTATAGAACGTGTTTCAAATAACATATCCTTTTTCGGTAAACGGAAAGTCGCGCGATTCAAATTGGCGGAAACGGAAATTCAGATTCATAACAATATTTGCAGACAATTTGTAAGCATTCTGTACACCGCGTGGCATGTCGCGTATCTTCGTCCCTCGTGACGTTGAAATTTCAGTTGAAGGCGAGTCTCGCCGTTGGAAGGATTCGTACGACGTGCTCGCTTAAAAAATTCCACTTAGTCGAGGAATCAACAATTCGCCCCAGTCGAATGATTCGTCGATCAAGTCGGCAGAAGCCGGCGGTTGGATCCTCAGGACCGATCTCATCAACTCCGTTTAATTTAATCGACCAATTGTTACATTGGAACTGACCAATCACATTTGTTGTTCATCAGAATTAACCAATTACGGTTGACGATCGAACGATTGGGTTAATCGGAATTGTTTAGACCTACCTATAGATGATAGATGCGTGACTCGCGTGAGTACAATGACGATCATCATGTATGGATTTTCCTGAGTCACGGTTTTCTCCCGCGAGTTCCCCATAAGAATTCGATTCCATCTAAACGCTCGCCGAGCTACTGCGCCGTCGAGTTTGAGAGTAAGAGAGGTAGGTATTTATTATATACGCAGTTGCGCATGGTTGGTATTCATCTGATAGTCTGATACCATTGTGTTTGCTTGTCAATGCGCTGACATCGAGATGTCATCCTGTGATGGTCCTAGTTAACAGTGATTGAAGTCTTGATTGACTTTTTCAAGGAACGATCGGGTTTAACAAATATCATGAGCACATTGTGGAAACCCTGGGGAGACATCCTGAAGGTGGAACCGACAGATCCAGCGATCATGAAGAGTCTGGACAGCAGCTTGGACGACTTTGACAAGCTATCCGACTTCAGTCCCAACTTACTTATCATGAAGAAGAAGAATCCCCTGATGAATTCTTGCATGAAGTGCCATAATAATAACAACAAGAGTTTCCTGCTGCTCGATGGACGGGAGAATCTGCAGGTTCCTGATGTAGAAGAATTTCTGAAAAAGTTAAACTGTACGGAAAACAACATTAAAGTCAAAGTTGTATCGATATTTGGAAATACAGGTGATGGGAAGAGCCATACTATGAATCAAGTATTTTTCAAGGGCGAGGAAGTATTTCAAACCTCCAATGAGCAAAATTGTTGTACATTAGGAGTCTGGGTAGCATTTGATCCAATTCTCAATGTCATCTGCTTGGATACGGAAGGTTTACAAGGTACAATATATTTTATGCTATTCTTAAGTAAAATTAAGTCTGTGCCAGATTCAACAAGTTTATATTACTATATTATTCTGTTTACGTTTACGTGTTACATTTCTGTTTAGGTATTACTTGTTATGAACATGAACGGACGAGATTGTTATTGAAGGTACTCGCAGTCTCTGATATTGTGGTTTATGGAATCCATTCCGAAAGATTAAACAGGGATTTGTTTACATTTTTGGGCGCTGCGTCACGTGCTTATAGTCACCATTTTAAAGCCACTTTACAAATGATAGGGCAGAAAGAAGGAATCTCTACCTCGTTGAGCACGCTTGGACCAAGTGTTATAGTGCTGCACGAAACTAAACACACCATACCTTTGATCAACAGTACATATTGCTACTCTCTCAGAATGACAGTAATTTCAAACTGAGAACTTTATTACGATTGATAATCATTTCGCCATCGTGACATGATATATCGATCGATTCTTTTACAGATGAATCGGAAAGTGCGGAAGATATTCTGAAAGCTAAATTCGCGCAGATGAGCCTCGAGATTGACGCTTTTAACTCTATCAAATATATCGGTTTGCAAATGGTAAACGACACGACGGATTACGAACAATTGCGATCCGCGATTGAGAGCGAATTGAACAACACAACAGTTCGCTCAGCCAGAAAACCGCACCTGGTGTATAATACACTTAAGAATCTGAACAATCAGCTATCTAATGAAATAGAAAATGTTTCTAATACTTTATTCCCAGATCAGTATTTTACTTGTCCTATTAAATGTCTAAGTTGTAATAATGGCTGTAACAACAGTATGGGACATCTTAATGAAGGAAAACCACACAGTAGTAATACTAAGTTGGTACATGGATTTTTTTATATGCTATTTTAATCGTACAATTCCTTAGATTAATGGTGTTTGTTATGATAGGTGCAAATTCCAGTGTCAGTATGAAAATTCAATATACATATGTAAAAGATGTTACAAGAACGGAAACGAAATTGAGGTGAGCAGGCAATATTACGAGGACAATCAGAACAGCTGGTACAGTTTCGCTAAAAATGCTTGGTCAGGATACATCATAAACTGTTCACATTGTGGGGAAATATACAAAAGCAGACAGTATTGGTATGGTAATAATGCAGAGGATGTTGCCATACGCAAAAAGATTACTCACGTGTGGAATACGGTAAGAATCGAAAGTAAAAAGCTTTTTTTGTTCTTAAGGATTACTTTACTTTGACAGGATCTGAAATAAGCATAAATCCAAGATTTTTTTAAATTAATTATATTGTATGTCTCGAATTAATTCCTGTTAGAGATATGTTATACAATATCTAAAAATTTGCCAAGTATTAAAGATTTTAAATAAAAAATATTTTTAAAAAATTTTTATAAAGTTGTTTACTACGGATAAGTGATAAATCTCTAAAGGTAGGGATGATTTGAGACAGAGAAGTAAAGTGAAATATTTTATTGTAATTGACTCTCATTCGCCCTGGTTTTTTGGATTTTCTTGTTGATTTTGGGAGAGTCCGTAAGAAAATTATATTATTATTATTTTATTGTAAATAGACATAGTGAATAAAATAGGATTTTTTGTTGAGAATTGTATAAAATAGCTACAGTAAAAATTTATTCTAAACAAATAAATTATCATAGTTAAAAATCCTATGCTACAGCTACATTTTATCTATTTATAAGAAAATATTTCACTTATTCTAGATCATTCCCGCTTTTGGAAATCTGCCATCTATTCGCGGCGAGCAAACTTTGCAGAAATTATTCCACAACCTTCCTTTTTTGTATAAAATTTTTAATATCTAGCAAATTTGTAGTCAGATATTATACAATATACTACTAAAATAAAAATTAATTCTACATAGATTAATTAACTTACAAAAATTTTTGAATTTATGCTTATTTTAGATCCTGTCAAGATGATTATTTTTTTGTTTATGCATTTCTATTTCATTATAAAATGGCTTTTCAATTTCCATATTCTCTTTCAGTCAAATCGTTCTATAGCTACTCAAAACACAGCACAACGAGTTATCGATAGCGTTTCATACATCACTGAAGCCATGACGAATGTCTCTTTGCAACCGGCGAAAGCGCTGAAAGCCTGGGCCGCGGATCAAGTGGCACCGTCTTATTGGCGATCGAACAATGAGATAAAATACTGCTATCAGTGTAAAATTCCATTCAGTCCAACGGATGACAAACATCATTGTCGCGATTGTGGAGAGGGCTTTTGCGCACAATGCTCGTCAAAAACAAAATGTGTACCCAACAGAAACTGGTACTCGCCCGTTCGTGTTTGTGACACGTGCTATGAGAAAGAGACAAATTGTTCCAGCGATGAATCCCTCGAACCTGTAGAAGATGTCGGTGTGCGAAAAGTGACAGAGCACGTGATGTCGACTCTTAATGCCGTTGGAACAGTATTCAGTTATTCCAAATGTGAGTAAAAACGTTACATCACGAATTCGTGTAATTCTCAGATAAATTCTGAACATATTTGGTTTGTATAGCTTTTATAAAAGATTCCGTTCGACCATCTTATTGGATACCGGATTCGGAGGTGATTAGCTGTTGTGTCTGCGAACGGAAATTTTCCGCCGTACTTTCTTTACATCACTGTAGAGCTTGCGGACGTGGCGTGTGTCAGGAATGTTCGCAACATCGTAAACCTGTACCTCACCGAGGATGGGATCATCCTGTTAGGGTATGCAACGCTTGCGTTTGAAATCGTTTGGACATATATCTTTTAAAGAAAACAGAGTCGAAAAATACAGAAATTTTGGAAAAAGAAAATATTCATTTGAAATGAAATAAACTTACTTATTTCACATAATACTTGCAAGATAAACAGAAGTTGTACTGAAACTTAATTGTGAATGTAGAAAATCTTAGATTTGTATAGCCAAATCGCGCAGTTGACCGTAATTTTTTAAACGAAAAATCTTTTAATGTAATTAGAATTTTAACTCTTAAATTCTAAATAAAATTTTCAACTCGATGTTTTTTATTTCCAACAGTACATAATGTAACAATACAAATTATTTTATTATACGATATGTAATAGCTTTATGATGAGATATCTAAAAAATACAATTTTTATTACTTATATATTTTTAATATTAAATTATACAAATAATTATATGTTTTATTTATATATTTGATATCAGAGATGAGAATTTTAAAGAGACAATAGGCGTATTCGTTAGAGCAGTTAGTCTGCTCACCGAGCGATTGAATAATATGATTAGTTAGATAGATTACAGATTCAATTAATCACATTCAGCTGGCAAGCAAATTAGCTGTTTCATCTAGTATAAATCGTCGGTTTGACAACTTAAGCTGGTTCTACATTAATTGCAAGCCGATTGCAAGTTTATTGCGACAGCCAATCTGAAGTTTGCATATTGGCTGCTGTAGTATGACTTTAAACCTTAAAAAATCGAGAATATCAGCTGAATTTTTAGATATATAGGATCCGAAAATCTAGTGTTGTCTGAAAGTTATTTAATTTAGTTTTTATAATTAGAGAATAACTTGTGAATATAACAGAGTGTTCCAATGACCGCTAAATATTTCGTGTGCTGGTAGTGTGGACTAAACTGAATCGAAAAGTCCTCTACTATTTAAAAATTTTCGCAATAATTGACAAGATATTAATTACTAAAAATCGCAACATTAGTTTTCAATAATTTTTTAAGTACTCATCAACTGTACAAAAAAAAACAGCAAGTGACAAAAATTCAACACAAAAAATTTATTTTCTTCTCATAGAGTTCTCAAGAGAATTTTTTGGTACTGCATTTTTTTGTTGATAAAAAATAGTTGGCAATAAAAACATGTAGTACTAAAATATAGTACTAAAAAGTTCTGAAAACATCTCTATGAGAAGAAAATAAACAATTTTTCTCTTTTCTGTAAAATTGATAGTATTTGAGTAAATAATTATTGAAAATCAATATTCAGCGATTTTTTATATTCAGTAATTTTTAATAATTTTTAGTTAGTATTTTTAATGACTTTTTGACTCAAAACTTTGAAACGAAATTTGATCTGCTGTATCATCACAGGAAATATTTGGTGGTCATTCTACACCCTGTATAAATGTACATAAATGTATGATTGTGCTGTAATTATAGTTATTACTATTTGAAAGTAACTTCTTGAAGTGTGTTAAAAGCATAGCTACCGTTAATATAATTTTATATCTCTAAAGGATATAGATCAAGATTACGCTTAAAAATTGTTCGGTAGTAAGCGGATTAAAGATTTATGTTAACGATAGAATGTCCCGTATAATACATGTTAGCGGTTTGTTGTACATATGTATATACATATGTGTAGTTGCTCTTCAGGAGCATTATTCTGTAATTGTCTTTATACGCCTATCGACAATTGTAGGTGTCGTTGCGCAGATATTTTATATGGTGAAAAAGCTGTGCAACAACACCGACAACTATCGGTAGGCGTGTAAAACAGTTACAGAATAAGCGTCCCTGGTAACAGCGATCGGTAGTTGTAAGAAAAAAGAGAAACTCATTTACAAAAAAATGTAAATCTCGTGGCTGTGACAATTGTTAATACCGGCATAGCATTTGAAGATGTGTTATTCATAAAACAGCGAACAAGTGATAACGCATCTTCGAACATGGAAATCGTTACTTTTATTTTGTTCTGTATTATGATAAGCAGCTTGAAATAAAGTTTGAATTCTCGAAGTCGCTGCCTGTCATTTTATTTATATTCGAACTAATGTTGTTACATGCGTACGTCACCATATTTAATACCTACAAAATCTGGAAATTTTCTAACAAGGAAAGAGACCCAACTATTATCTTCCGACTTTGGTAAGTTTTTAGTATGTCGTTCCTCAGACAAAAATAAGAGATGTATTTTTTGTATACTGTATACATGCCCAATCGCACTTTCAAGAGATGAAAAAAATGATTTTTCTTTTTAAGCGCGAATTTCGTCGAAATTAGGGATACACCGGATCGTAAAATTATCGGATATCCGAGAAAGCAATTTCTTCGAATCGGATATCCGATGTCGGATTCCGAGAAAGTGTCTTTTAAAAAAAAAAGCTATTAGAAGCTCTATTAGATTATAGAACGGTATTCATAATCAAATCTTATATTCAAAACCGTCTTAAGTATAGTCTTAAGAAGTCACGAACCAATTCGAGGGCTGTATTAGCGTCTTAAGATTTTACTTAAAACAATCTCAAGAATTATAAATAACGCCATAGAGAAAATAGAGAACACCATAGAAAAAAAGATTGTAATTTTGCAACAATATATAAGATATAGCATCATAAATATGCATACTTGTTTCTAGAACATTTGTAAGAAAAAATCAACAATTTAATGATATCAAATTTGAACCGAATATATTCCCGAATACTAATGATTATCCAGTCGGATAGTAAAAAAGTGCCGAATAATACTGGATACCGGATACATTCCGGATATCCGATGCATTCCTAGTCGAAATTATAAGAGATGGAAAATATTTACCAGAATGGAAATTGAATGGTTTGAAGAGACTATATAATAAAAAAAATTTACATGCCATCTAAAAATAAAGACAATTTGAATAAAATGAAATGATGAAATCACTTTAAAACAATTGTAAAAATTATGGACAAAAACTATCCCTATCTTCTTCTGACAGTAATCAGTAAATAATTCAAATAATCATAAAAAGTGATAAAAAGCACGTAAAGTGCGCATGCATAGCCTATTTTCACTTAAGCCTGCAAGCACACGATGCTTGTTTTCCTGCTGGATTGCTAGCTGGATTAGAATCTTGCCATATTGGCTGCAATGCTGTCAGTGCCAGCATGGCAAGCATCGTATGCCGTGTATCTTTTTATTATGCCGCCGGCTTTACGATAATTGACTCGTCACGCCACGGTTGTTCCGACCAAGTATGGTCACAGTATGAGACTCCGCACAATAAAAGGAACAGGGAACAGAAGACAGAGAATAAGAATTTCAACCTATCAGAACTGTGTATTCCATAATACATGATTTCTGCGGAGCCCCTATAAGTACATACAGTATGGACACTGAACTTTTTATGTGGTCTTCAATTTTCAGTGCGCATACATCGATTTCCAATCAGGAATATAGTTGCCTTTAATAAGTTGAAATTGTAGGTTAGGCTGACTTTGTGGTTGCGAGAGGTGACTTCGGGGACACCTTGAATTTTGAAATAAAACGAAAGTGAGACCTCTAATTCCCTGCGGAGGTCACAAGATTAACGATCCAAATTCTATGTATAATACTGTGATCCTTTCCTTGGGTCAGAAAACCAAGCAGGCATAATAAAAAGAAATTGCAGATTATAGAATATATGTATAAGACGTGTATAGACAATTCAATAATAATGCAAATAAAATAAAACAGTTTGTTAATTGCATAGAAATGAAACAAAAAATAAATAAAGGTGGGCATGGGTACAATTGTGCCATGTTTAACTGTTTAAATATATCGGGACGACTATCAGGGCTAAGCTTTTTTCGTTTCCCGAAAGATGCAGAAAGGTGAAAGTAATTATAATATTTTTTATTAATTTGATATTTTTGTTAAAATTGCTTATATATAACACTAATATATAACACAATAAACTTGATCTACAATGTGCTTGTTGCTTTCCATTTCTTACTTTTTCCTTCTTGTCTTTTCCTTCCTTTGCAACCATTTTATTGAAATGTCTCTTGCTATATATTTTTGTCACATATTTCTTTCAAAGTTCGTCAATTTTTATGTATCTGATGACAGAAAACACAAAATGGGATAAGAGGCTAAAAAACAAGATGTAAAAAAATGATAAAAAACAAGAAAAAGCATTAAAAACAAAGAGCACATCATAGAACAGATTTTATATGTACTATGTTTTCATTTTCTAGATGTAAATTATGGTTAAGAAACTGTGGACGTACAATTCCAGTTCCAATGGAAAACTTATATAAAAATTATCGAATTTGTGGAAATCATTTTGATTCTTCAATGTTTCTAAATGATTTGAAGAATCGCCTCCAATCACATGCAGTTCCAAAATCAATGGATCTACAAAAAGAAACTGATTCAATACATGTCACAGCCTTAATTTTAGACAATCACGTATCTTCTTTATGTAATGGTAAGTTGAATTCTAATAATTCTAAACCTTTTTATTTTTATAAACTTATCTATTTGATATACTTAATCATTAATAAAAACTATATGTTATTGAATATCTAATAATTATGAAATTATATTAGATCAGGATGCAAAAATTATAAATGAAGACAATCAAAAGAATAAAGAAGTACAAACTGAACAACTATCAGTTACATATGATAAGAAAATACAAACTGATTGCAAATTGTCTAAAAATTCACCAAGAAAAATAATATTGAAAAAGAAAATTAACTTATTACATAAAAAAATTACAGAAAATTAAGAAGCAATTAATTCATCAGAAAGGAAGTTATATACGTACAAAGAGAAAGAAAGAGCTTTCTGTTTCAGAATATTGTGATATTAATAAATATAAAACAATGTTTAATCAAAATTTTTCAAATAAAATTTTCAAATAAAATTACGTTTATAAATTACAATGTAATATATTTAAGTAACAATATACTTCCACCTCCTGATCTTTTTCCCATAAAATATAATAAAATTAAGTTTTATTAAAAAATTAAATAAAATTTTTTCGGAGACGCTATATTGTGTAGACAATTTTATTTATATATGATAAAATATTCTCATAAGTATGCATTTGTGTACCCTCCTCCCCCTACGTATATTATCAAATTACAACTTCACATTTAATTATAATTTTCATATAGTATTTGATCAATTGTTATTTTTAATTTACTTATTACTGTTTAATATTATTATTAATGTGAATATTGTCTTTATATAATAAATTTGTTAATATTATATTATTATATCTGATTCAAAAATATACTTGTTTTAAATAATTTTCATGACACGACCGAATCACGAAAACAATTTGTGATCGAACGCATGAGAAAGAGAGAGAGAGAAAATAAATACCCTGCGCACCTATCAGCGCGAAGCAGCAACTTGATGTGTAAGCAATGGCGGTCGGCGAAGTAGTAAGCTTCTCGCATGTGAGATGGCTCTAAAGTATAACACGTGGTACAAAGAATTTTCCGATCGACGCGGTGCAAATAGACTCCCATTCATGCAAACTGAATTAGAAATTCAAGCATGGTAGGTGTCGTCCACAATATCGCGGCGTGCACACTCCCGAATTAGGGCACATATTGATGAACCGTCATGCGGCTGATTGGCGAAACGAAGCACCCTAATCACACACCCGCATCGGATTCGACGGATACGCAGACGCGACACGCGGCATGCGACAGATGAGCAGAGATAACGTTCAGGCTCAAGTATGGCGGCGTCCATGCACCATGTGCTTCAGAGCGCCAGACAATGTTATCCTGATGAATGTCGAATAGAGTTTACCCTGTTGTTGGTTTCCCTTGAGGATGCCTATGGCGATCAGTGTGGCTTTATGATGTTCGGGTCCTTGGTTGATGCTAACAACACAAACGTCAATATGTTGACTGAAGTTGACTTTGCTAAGTCGACTGTAAGACTACGATTTAGGACTATCACTCACGATGCTTATATTCTGGTCACGTCGAATTCACCCCAAAATTAAAGTATGATTGAGAGTAGAAATGAATTAGGAAATCGGAAGCTAAAAATTGAGAATTGAAATCAGTCGTCAATTTTCAGCTTCTGACTCCTTATTTATGACTAATGACTTATTATAAAAGGTCATAATGTATAACACAGTTTTGAAAATATATAGTACATGTAACGTAAACTGTAGATTTTCAGCACTGGTGAATTTTGGAACACAGCCACTTCAAGCATAAAAAAATTCAATCAATCAGAATTTTTATTTCACAGAAAGAAAGAAAACGAAGAAAACGTTGATTAGTTATATTTTCTTATGCATAACGCATAATGCATAAGAAAATCAATGAAAATCCTTTATTTCCTTCCTTTCCATGAAATAAAGAATTCTGATTGGTTCATTTTCTTGTGCTTTAAATATGATTGAACAATTTTCATAGGCTACGTTCCAAAACTTCCTCTTTGAGGAAAATTTTACTCGAAATATTGTATAAAATAGCATATAGAATAAAATCTTCCTCGAAAAGACAGAAAAACGTAGCTTCAAGAATAGTCTCGAAATAAGAACGGACTATGAATATCGCCCTATGATTAGTCTTGCCCTTAGTTCCTCACTGGATCTAAATGTATAAACCAATCATGCTCAAGACAAGTTTTACAACATGTTGCAAAGCTGCTTTTTCTACGTAGCCAATGGATGCACTCAATACTACAATTGCTCACTGAGCGCTCAGTAAACTCTTATATCTAATTAGTGTATATTTTTAGATCTAATGGAATATACCAATCAGGGGATCGATCTGTATGTTGAAACGAAATGAAAATTTAAAAGTGAGCAAATTTACTAGAATACTAATAATTTCATTGGTCAACATCTAGTAAATTTGCTTACTTTTGTAATTTTCACCTTGTTTGAAGATACACAGAATCGATCCCCTGTATCTTCACTTTTAAATTTTCACTTTGTTTCAAGATACAGAATCGAACCCTTGATTCGCATATTCCATTAGACCCTCTAAATCGATCCCCAGATGCAAGCGCTCACTCAGCGGTGTAGTACTGAATACATCCAATCGCTCGGTGAGCAAACTGCATTCCGAAACCCATCGAAAAGAAGTATTGCAACCTTTCTGTGACCGACTGTACCACTGATATGTGTCTACTTATGCATGTGATGACGTTAGAATATGGCGTCTCGATCAGCTGGATGTTGTATAGAGTGTGTCTGCCTGCGATGCCTGCCGTCTCGCGAAAACTAACGAAGACTACCGTCTGCATCCCACCGTGATACGTGAGTTCATCTCAACCACGATCGACGATCGCACGGCTTGGTTCTAGCTCAGCGACTGGTATACCGTGGATAAAAAAGAATCGCACGCGATGCGAATTCGCAAGTGCGGACACGGCGATACGAGAAAGAGAGAGAGAGAGAGAGAAAGATAGAAAGAAAGAGAGCGCACGCGAACAGAACGAGAGTAATGAAAAACGGAGACGCATAAGTGTACGCGAATGGCACTGGATTCTCGGTGGTGCTCGACTGCTTGAGTGTTCGGTGGGGCAGGTATACAACTCGACACGGCAACGGATGTCTTGCACGTGAAACACACGTTCGCCCCGTTCCTCGAGGTGCTTCGAGGTACTTCGAGGAATCCCGACGTGGCCTCTGGTGACTCTGTGGAACACGGTCGGGTCACCGAGGAAATCAGAGGGAATGAGAAAGTAAAATGAAGTAAACGAGGAGCGAGGGAGGGAAAATGAGGAGAGAAAATCGGGTTGCTAACCCGCATATCTTTTTCTCTGCGTTACTCTGCGTTGCTCTGCGTCTCCGCGCGCGGCGTTCGATTTATCTTATGTAATTCCCGCGAGTGTATCACGCCCCGCGAACGCCGGAGCCTATACGCGTGCGTGCGTGCGTGCGTGCGTATACATACGCGTGTGCCGTGCCGTGTGCGGCGAGCGATGCCGTGGCCATTTTTGCGTTTGCCTTCGTATTTTGTAATCGTTATCAGCTCCATATTTGAATTCAACAAGTAATGCAGGTCGCCCGACCACCGCGAATCCCAGGCGTGAATTCCGCGATCGTCGGGAATGAGAATCGACAAATCGATCTCACGTGCTCACGTCGACGGTTGACATCTGAAACAGATCGTTTCAGTGGCGATTACGTCGTCGAAGGTGATTTAATTCTCGTGAAAACGCCGTGAAGGTCTTACCAGAATCTGGCCTAAATCTTGCCAGAAGATCTATCGTGTATCTTGCAATCGGATGAAAATTACGAAAGTGAGCAAATTCGCAACTGTCGATCACGTAAGAATACAGTATTTCACTTAAGAATATTTTATTCTTACGTGATGTTTCTATTCTACTTGAGGACCACGTTTTCCAGTGAAATATAGTCGAGTGGAAAACACTTATATTCTTACATGGTAGTGTTGATCAGTAAAGTTATAAATATTCTACATATTAAACTCGCTCGCTTTATCATTTTCATTTCTTTTCATAATACACAATCGACCTTTAGGATTTCGTCTATTCATTATCGACGCCGATCGCATCGCGAAGAAAGGACGCAGACACGGAGTCGACGAAAAGCACGTTGTCGGAGGTGTGCAACGCAGGTGGACGCCATAGTTGCACATTTCATGGGGGAGGATGGGAAGGGGAGAGACATTTGGTACGTGGGTGCGAGTGATCACGACGATGACGACGACGACAACGTGACGCCACGCTGCCGAAGATGACAGTCTGTCGGATCGAATATCCCATTTGAAAATCTGGTGCGCGATTCCGCGTGATAGCACCGGCCATTTTGTCACTTATTAGTCGCGCGGATAAACAATCCCATATGCGAGACGAATTAGGAATTTCGACGTCATCCGCCTGACTCTGGCTTCGAAGCTGTTCGAGTTCGGCTGTTGGCTGTCGCGAGCGTGGCTCACATGCGCGGAGATTTTAATTTCACGATGCTCTCGTTCTCCACATCTATCTTTCTCTCTCTTTTGCCTCCATCCTCGCGTCTCTGCTGCGCGGCACACCAAAAATAGAAAAGCGATCGGGCCCATTTCTTACTGTTTTCGCGATGATTTTTATGTTGTAACGTGATATATTGCGGCGGTGCTCTTGTATGGAATTTCTAGGGATTACCAATAAGATTACCATATCTGAATCGAGAGAGAGAGAGAGAGAGAGAAAGAGAACAATGTACACTTTTTAAAAAAAGATTCGAGGACAGAAGCGGGGAAGGTATAATTTTTTTATGCGTTAAATGTAGGTATTTTTAATAAAATAAAATTTCGAGAACATAATTTTCGTTGATAACTCTTATTAAGATAAATTTATAAATCTAAAATTTTAATTAATATGATCAGAAATTTTACAACTCAAAAAGAGCATTTTCAACCCTCCAACTGTATTTAATGGATTAAATATGATAATATTTGCGTACCGCAAAACTTTATCTTTTTGTCATACTGCGAGAACTGTTTAAAAACGCTCGGAGCGAAAAAGCCCGTTAGAAGAAGGTTAGAAGATTAAAAGAATACGGCTGAAACGTATCTCGATTATAACTTATAATTTTAATGACAGCGTTAGTATCATGTACTGTCATAGCACAAATATTATTAAACACGGTAAAAAAATGTAACAATACCGAACTGTCGTTAAAAATTATAAAATCGAGGATGAAGGTTTTAAGCGATATCTGACCGAGATTTTTATGTCATCTGTGTGGAGATATTAATAAAGTTTTCTTAAGTCAACAAGTTTTGAAATTCTTTAATTAGAATAAGAACGCAAAGGGACAAAGAAAACGTTTGTTGCAAATTAATATATTCACGCAAAATCCCTTGGCGAAGTAGTTTTTATACACACTAGCGATATCCGGCTCGAAGAGATTTTTAATATCATCTGGAGACAATTGATTTTGTTTTAAATTTCCTTATTATTGTACGTGAAAGAGGAAAAAACTTTGTTGTAAATATATATACATATATGTATGTACACACACACACACACACACACACACACACAAAGTGTTTGGAAAATAATGATAAATCTTTCGCATAGGGACAGAATGGACTAAACTGAGAAGAAAAGTCCTCTACCATTTTACAATTTTCGTAATAGTTAACAAGATATTAATTGTTAAAAATTGCCGAAAATTGGTCTTCAATAATTTTTTACTTAAGTACTATCAACTTTACAGAAAAATTGCAAGAGACAAAAATTGTTTATTTTTTTCTTATAGAACTCTAAGAATTTTTCCAGAATTTTTTATCAACTTTTTAGTATTGCACTTTCTTATTTTTTTAATAACATGAGAAAATACGGTATTAAAAAATTTTGAAAAATACTAAAAAAAGAGCTTTATGAGAAGAAAATAAACAATTTTTATCTCTAGTAATTTTTCTGTAAAGTTGATAATATTTGAGTAAAAAATTATTGAAGACCAATTTTCGGCAATTTTTAGCAATTAATATCTTGTTAACTATTGCGAAAATTGCAAAATGAGGACTTTTTTTCTTAGTTTAGCTCCTATGCGAAAGATTTATCATTATTTTCCAAACACCCTGTATGTGTGTGTGTTTGTGTGCGTGCGTGCGTGCGTGAGAGAGAGAGAGAGAGAGAGAGAGAGAGAGAGAGAGAGAGAGAGAGGGAGAAAATATCTCGTCTTATATGTATTATTTTTCCACAAAAAACCCTTTTTTGGTTGGATTATCAGTTTTTAAATACTCCGGATTTTAAGTATTTTATATTTTACTGTACATATTTAAATACAAGTTACACTTATTTTTGTATACAAAACATTAGAAGTAAAAGTACAGTTTTTGGAGTTGTCACAATGTTTTTATATACGAAATTTATATGAGATTTACAGAAAGTAAATTTTTTCCAAATAAAATGAAGAAATGATAAACTGATAACAGCCAATGTGGATATGTGTAATGATAATGTGTTTACTCGCAGTAATTATACATATAAAATACACGTTTCGATTGCAATTATAAAGTTTCCTTGTAAAAGAATTTCTTTCTAAGAAATAAAGGATGATTTTTTTGTTTGCAGTGACTAGGAGACTCTATGCAACATGCCACCAGATAGGCCAGATGCATCGGGTATTGAAACTGATATAGAACTGATCTCGTCTCAGGATTATAATTTTGGTGAAAACCTCACAATGAACGATAAGGAAAAGGAGAATACCAGCATGCTGACTGACTCAAATTTAACCAACGATTGTCAAAGCGAAATGCCTAAATGGGAGAAGGCTATGGAAAGGAACAATCAGTCGGACGACGAGCTAACATCTCTCAGTTGGCTACACCAGCAGAATTTACTTAAAGGTTTGGACATTTCGAACCCCTCCAAAAACATGAAGCATCAAAACATGCTGAACAATAATATCTGCGACGATATGGCAGACTTTTCTGAAAATACAAATTCTGTATCGAGCTTAGATGATAGTTTCTGTCCAGGTAAGATGAGTGTTTTTAAAATATGTAATACATTGTGTTTTCAAGTATTCTTACAATGTATATTAATTTTACCTTTTTTTTTGTGATGCATCGATAGAGAATAATGGAAAAGCAAATGCGACATTGAATGGGAATGGACAAAACTATCAGCATCCTGCCAAGAATTGTCAAAATATGCAAATATTTCAAGAATCTGCGAAAAGTCATTACAATATTTCGCCAAATAATCAAACGAAGATTTCTTTGAGCAACAACAATTTGCCAATGTCTTATCGCAACAAGCATCCTACTCATGTACCATATGATCCTCATTTACATATAAATAGCAAACCACCGTATTCATTCTCCTGCCTCATATTTATGGCTATCGAAGATAGCCCTGTAAAGGCGCTACCTGTGAAAGAAGTTTACGCGTGGATCCTGGAACACTTCCCATACTTTAGGAACGCCCCTACTGGATGGAAAAATTCTGTTAGACACAATTTAAGTCTCAACAAGTGCTTTCGGAAGGTGGAAAAAGCTCCGGTAAGTATATCAAGTGAATTTTTAATCGACGAAACGCACTGTAAGATTTTTACGGTAACTTTAAGAATGTTTTGGCTGTACAATATCAACTAAAAATATCAGTAAAAGCATCAATCATCCTTAACGTCATATTATATCGTACGTTTATTACAACTTTTTATTTTTTTTCTTTTTAGAATTTAGGAAAGGGATCGTTGTGGATGGTTGATGCACAATACCGCCCAAATCTGATTCAAGCGTTGTCTCGCTCTCCTTTTCCTCCCACTATAAATCAGACTTTGTCTTCATCGGAAAAGGTGTCTAGAAAATGCATAAATACACGTCTCCCAGATCCGGTTCTTTTTCCATATCTATCCAAAAGACTGGCATCTAGCAATATTAATGATAGTGCAGAAACCGAGATAGATAGCGACGTTGACGCAGCAGCTGCCGCTATGCTTTCCTTTAAGCATGGACCTATCATTCTGAATCATAATAAAGGTACTAAATATGCATGCTGTAACATGTATGAAATAATAAAAAATGAAGTCCCTACCTGTATTTTGTTGAGACAGAGAGAATAGCATAGACGTAGTTAAAATGCTCAAGATACTTAACAATTTATACTCGTTCATTAATATATTTTTTAATATAGATCGTAAACGAAAATTGCCGGACTCGGAAAAGTTGGTGCCTGTAATTACCAGGAGTTCCAGCGAGGACCATACTTATAGTTGTATCGCCTCGATAAAATTAGGAAGGTAAAGATATTAATCCTATATGATAAATGTAAAGATTACATGAACAAAATAATAAATTTTACCGTTTTCCATTTCTTTCTACAGCAAACATTCAAACGAGGAAGAATTAAATCCAGATGTTGATGAACAAAGAAAAATTGCAGAAGGTGCGGATGCGCTTCTGAATCTGGCTGGTGTTAGTACAGCTCTAAATTACGGTAGAACACATCATGTAACACAAGGTATTAACACGGCATCTAAATCAGACGTTATTTTAAAACCAAAAAAACGTTCTACCACGAGTGAGTACTCGAGTACGTCTGAAAAAAGACGTAAAAGATGGCGGGACTGGGGAGAGGAAAATCGATACCTAAAACAAATTAGGGGTTAACATAGACACATTTTGTTACATTTTTCGAAAAGTGTACATTATCGAAAGCTTTCCATTTATGCGCGAATCAGGAAAGCGTTTAAGAGTTTTACTATCTAGTAACAGGAAGGTACTTTCATTTTAGAGTATTGTCAGTAAATTCCTTATTCATTTCTATAAACGTGTTTAAATCAACTTTTACGAAAATTTCATTGTTTGGATTTCTCGTCGTAAACACAAAAAAACGCGCATGTAAATTCTTCCATAACTTCTAGTTGTGCTAGTAAAAAGAGGGTTGTTGGATGCATTTCGAATTCATTGGTGTGGTTGCTCAGGGTTTACAACATGCTAAATGCCAAAATACATTCGGTAGCACTAAACAAGCAATAATAAAGTTGTAGTGTTAAAGAGATACTTTTAAACACGCTGTTGAAACATGAATACAATTGAATAGTACGTGGATATATATCAATTAAAAAAATTATTATTACGTACTGAAATAAGTAATAATAATCATTTTAGAACTGTTGTGAGAGAAACAATTATATTAAGTCATAGAGAGTTTAATTAATGATAAAGTTCTATATCAGTTTTTCCTTTTTTTTTTGTAGATATGTATAGAGGCATAATCCACATCTGCTGTCACAATGCCTGTCCTAACAATAACGAGACCTCTTATTTGCAAACATAACACCATCGCGATTTTTGACAGCCTCGGTTTGATGCCCAGTGTTATCATATTTTTTATTTCAACGGGAGTTTCGAGTCTCGTTATTCTTGAGACAGGCTACGCATTCAATAGAGAGAAAAATCGATAATATATTTAAAATGATTACGCGCATACATATTTATATGTATATGTGTATATATATGTATATAAAATGTATGTATATGTGCATGTATATGTGGATGTACATTGCACACATCAAGCTCATACATACATATTCATTCATACATATACAATTAAACTTCCTGATTCTCAACCCGTGATGAAATAACTTTTTTGTTCTCTCTTATTTGAAAGCACGTACACAAAATGAAAATGTCATCGCGCACACATTGTGCTTATACGTGTCGATATCTCATTCGTCACTTATTCCACGTATGTAATAAAATGATGAATGTGAAATGATAAAAGAAGAGTTATTCAATTGGTTAAGAACAGGGGAGTTTGATTGTACAAGGTGTTCTCAAGTTTGCGACTAGAAACAGCGAGAAAGTTTATGAAAAATTGAATTTTACAACAGTTGCAAAGCTACTTTTTCTGCTGAACGCGGTCAATTAACAGTAATTTCGCATGCTATAGACAATTTAAAAAGAAAAACATTACGAATATAGAACTATTTGATCAATTATATATATCGTAGATTTTATTAGATTTCAAATTCTTATAGTTTAAAAAAATTGATTGCAAAGTGTCTTTGCGATTTAGTTTTTCATAAACCTTCGAATTGCAGCGCTTTCGCACGCGAAATTGAGGGCACCCTGCATGTAGACACATCATGTGCATCGTTGCACATGTGTACATGTGTGCCACAAACGAATTATCAAAAAAAAAATTTTAAAAAAAGATTGAAAATACATTCAACCATGGTAGAATTCTAATTCCACCGTGCATTCAACATGATTTTGAAACAAAGAAATGTTGTCATTTCACTGTCTTTTTCTACTCTCTTTGTGGCTTTCAAAATGATTTTAAACAGTGTTGTATATATGTAGAGATCTTTCTAATGTATCCACAGACCAGTTTTGGTATCCAGTTGGAGACTGAATAATTAGTAATTGTGCTGAGATATTAATATCGATTGGATAGAGATGAAAAATAGCTCTACATGGAGAGTTAACCTATTTTTATAAAAAAAAAAAAAAACCTATAACACTAAGAAGAGAGAAAGAAAGAGAGATTTGAAAATACCTTATAATTGTAAGATATGTAAGTGTGCTACGAAGACATGCGACAGAATATTAGGCAAACTGGTCTTGTATACATTAATATGTAGTTCAATATAGAGAGAACATATATTTTTACAGGGCGCTGCCCGCGTGATAAAGGTTCTTCCTAATAATTCGCTGGTACGCAGTTTATTAGCTTATCACTCTACAAAGTATAAATATTAGCGATTCAAATGAGAGGAGAAAACATAACTGTTGTAGCGCAACCTGATCGATTTTTACATATCAATGATAGTGAAATGTACTATGACAATTTCGTAAATATTTATTCTATTTGTTATTTCAGAATTCATTCAGGATTACTTGCGATGATCCTTTGATATATCACTCAAAAAGCTCATCATTAGTATTACAGAATGCTAGTTTCATAGCATAATTACGTAAATATGTAGAAAAAATTCAATTAGTGTCTTTTAAATTAATAATATAATTATAATTATAATTTTATTTCATTTTCATTTAAAACAGTAGATCAGCTGTGACAACTGGAAGTTGAAAATCTTAATTATCCAAAATAGAAGATATCTTCGAAAGAGAATTGAAAAATACGATTTGTGTAATAAACAGGATGCGCTACAAATATATATTTAATTGTGATTGTAGCTAGTCAGCTACACCAGAAGAAAATTCAATCTGAAGGTGCAAGAAAGAATGCCATACTCAATGAGAAATATTAAATCTACTTTGATGAAATAAAAAAAAAACAATATTATTTAAATAAAATATAAAAAGTTATAATTTTCAAAATTTATCCGTTTTCTAATCTAAAATTATAAATATACTCTTTGTTCTGCATTATATAATTTATATGAAATTTAGCCGCATACAATCTATCTTTTTTGTTTTTAAATTTTATTTTACTGTTATTATTTCTGTGATATATTGCAAAAATGATATGATATCGTTGTTATACTTCAGTGTATCCGAAGTTTTAGAATTCTATATATTATGTTTAGCGAGAATGTTATATATATACATATATATGTATATTTATATATCTATACATAATATATATGTATAAATGATTATTATTATTATTTATTAATTGGCATTCTTACTCACACCTTGAATACTCTACCTTGATATCGACCTTAAAATGAGTTGGCATCTTCAAATTGATAATTCTACGGAAATTTAATGTTATATAGCTTCACAACAATCTGTTAATAATCCTCTTAGTCTAGCTCTCGTTTGCTACGACTGAATATCTGTTCTTCCACATATAGTTAAATTCTAAACTAATCGGCTATAGAGAGTGAGATGCCATTCATCAATTATAATACAGTGTAGCTAATCGATAGGTTAAAAAAGCGTAGATTAAATCGATTAGTCACAGTAATGTAAAGCAATACACCAGTAAATCCTGACATTGGGCGAAATACTCTAGTCAGCCGGTTTCTTAAAGGGAATCATGGGCTCATGTGCAATGCATTAATCGTTGAGTCGGCAAGAAGAGGGGATAGACTGTTACTTCATAATTGCATTATGTAGAAGGAATAAGTATTAATATCGCCAATTTATTTTTCTTAACGCATAGTGTCGATCACTATACAATACGAATTCACAAAATTTATGATTATTCGTATATGTTATACGCGGGCTATTATTACAACCGGCTGACAAGCGAAGTCATCCTATGACAGACACCAAAAACACAACAAAGTGGAGCAAAGCAGATTACGATGTGTCATTGTAACTAACCAGGGACAATCAAAAGACATGATGTATTTGATTTGCTTCCATTACATGATATCGTGCCAAATGCAAAATCCTTTGGGTTTGGAAGATCAGAGATACGTTAATTATTATTATTATTATTATTATTATTATTATTATTACTCATTTTAGATGAATCATGCTGTAAAATGTTTGTTAAGTTTTTGATCTTGCTTATATATATCTTGAGTATATTTAATATTTTAGGCTGTAACTACAAGAAAATTTTATCTAATGAAACAAATGAAGAAAACAACAAAATTTGTTGATTATTTTATTTAACATTTCTTATTCTACATAGTAATTTGGCATATTTTAATATATATGTATTCTATAGGTACAATATGGTAATTAATTATTAGAAATATACAGCAATATGTTAATGTTGATCATACAATTTAAAAAATGATTTTATAAGTATATATATTTTTAAAAAATAATGCGTTTTTTAAGAAAAATTTTGGAATGTTATGTTTAAATATTTTGATAGAATAAAACAAACATTAAGAATATAACATAATATCGATGAAAAGATATTTATATAATAAATATATTGAGACCTATACATTAAAATTTAGAATAATACCTATGATATTAATTATTTAGATTAAATTATTTGAAAACATCAAGTCAATATGTAAAGAAGATAACATTAGCTATGTCACATTGAGATGTAATCGTCAAAGAATCATTTAATTTAATTGACTATATAAGAGACAAAACATACATTTATTATAAGAACGCATGCACATTTCACTATTTTGATAGTCATAAGTTTAATATTGTGACCTAACTGAGCATTTTTTGAGCATTTTTTCTATGAATTGATTTTTATAACTACTTTTAAGTTCCATTTTCTTTTTCTTTATTATATTTGGAAGGTGTAGAACTAAATACATTCGTCATGTTTTCTTTCCAAGATAACTGAGCAATATCCCTGGATGTCACTATTCTTTCATTCCAAACAGGTTTTTGGCTCATGGAAGTATTGTAACTATCTATTGTGTGCATTATGCTATTCATACTATAAGTTTGGTAACCAGTGTCTTGAATAGAGTTTGAGATACTTTGATGCTCGAAAGCACCGGACATTATGTTACTCTGTTTATGACTTTTGTGCGAAAAACTTGTAACTTCCGGCGCAATTTTTAAACTAGTCTCATTATTATATTCTTTATCATTAAGTACGATATCGTTAGAGTGCACAGTATTATCAGGTGAATTTATATTCTTTGCTTCCTCCATGTTAACAGAATGACATGCATTTGTTCTATCGTTATTTATAATTATCCATTTACCATTTTCTTCGGTACATTTAACGTCACTTTCGCTATCAGACATATCTAAAATACATTTTCAATATAGTATTATTACGAGCATATTTGTTTTGTCTGTAACAGACATTGATACTAAATATTTTAACAGGAAAGATGATGTAATAAATATCTCAAATTTATTCTCCATAAAGTCGTATAATTATGCTTAGACCTAATTTTTCTACAGGATATCCCAAAATTTACACATTCGGAGTACATGACACGATACTTTATGCTAAAACAAACAACTTTTTTCTTTTGCAGTAAACGCAAAAATTATTTATCAAATGTAATTTTATTATAAGAAAAAGTTATTCGTTTTACACAAAAAAATTTTTTTCTTTAACAAAATTCCGATAAGTAGTTTTTGCAGGAGAGCAGGTTGAAGTTAATAAATAAGCACAAAAATCATTTAGCGGACACAATTTTGCTAAAGGAAAAAAATTATTTGTTTTAGGATAAAGTATCATGTTCTGTACTCCAAATGCGCGAATTTTAGAGCATTCTGTATTCACTTATTTAACTAAATTTTT